TTGTAAGCCGCAAGCAGGACATCGTGATTTTCTTCCAAAACGCCAGCGGAATGAATTCTGATGTTGACGACTACCGGCTTTCTGTATCGGATCGTTGCTATGATGTGATTGTCCTATGCGAGACGTGGCTCGATTCGTGAACGATTTCCAGCCAGGTGTTCGGATCCGATTATGAGGTTTTTCGTTGCGAACGGAATCCAAACAACAGCCGAAAATCTACTGGTGGTGGCGTTCTTGTAGCTGTCCGTTCCGGATTGGAGGCGAGAGCAATCGAAAATGAATCGTGGAACAGTGTGGAACAGGTTTGGACAGCCATTAAACTGGGCGATCGCACATTATTTTTGTGCGCATTTTACATGCCTCCAGATCGAGTTCGTGATCTTGAACTCATCGAGACTCACTGTCAATCAGTCTTCACAGTAATGGAAAGAGCGACTCCAATTGATGAGCTATTCATTTTTGGGGACTTTAACCTAGCAGGCGTTTCGTGGAGACCATCCCATAGCGGCTTCCTCTATCTAGATCCAGAACGTTCTGAATTTCATGCAGGAACTATCGGCCTTCTCGATAACTATAGCGTAGCAACGCTTTCTCAAATTAACCACGTAGTCAACGAGAACAACCGTAGTTTGGACCTCTGCTTCGTGAGCACTCAGGACAATGCTCCGTTCATTTCCACAGCACCTTGTCCACTAGTTAAGCTTGTTCCGCACCACCCTCCTCTGATTGTCATTGTTGACAATTCGTGATTTCGATAGTCTTCTTGCTGCGGTTTCTTATGACTTTCGAAAGGCCGAAGATCGAAGCATTGTAGATGTGTTGTCAAACATGGACTGGGAGAACATTCTCGATCATGACGACGTTGAGGCCGCTGCGCACACTTTTTCTCATGTCTTGGCATATGCCATTGACAGACACCCCAAGCAACGCACATGTTCTATAACAGTTCATATAACCTTTATAGGACTTGTTTTGGTTGTATAGCAGTTTACTCAACATAATTATATGAATTTGTGTTACTTGGGACGTCCCGAAAAGAATTCAACGCAAAGACTCTCACCCTCCCTGGCAAACGATTGAGCTGCGTAGGTTGAAGTCGACCAAGAGAGCAGCATTGAGAAGATTTACGAAGTATCGCACGCTTCCTCTGAAACATCACTACGTGAGGCTTAATCACGAGTATCAGCGAGCCAGTCGTCGATGCTTTCTGCGATTTCAACGAGGTATTCAGCGTAACCTTAAACTACACCCGAAATCCTTCTGGAACTACGTGAACGAGCAACGCAGAGAATCTGGCCTCCCATCGTCAATGGAATTGAACAGTGAAGTCGCTTCCACTCCGCACGATATTTGCCGCCTTTTTTCTGTCAATTTTGCCAGTGTGTTCACTGATGAGAGACCAAGTGACGACCATGTTTCCTTCGCAGCCAGGAACATCCCACTAAATGGTCAAACGCTGGGTGCAATTGATGTCAACGTTGAGATGATTTCTAACGCTGCAACGCAGCTCAAATCGTCCTACAACCCTGGACCCGATGGAGTTCCGTCCGTGTTTTTGAAGAAACTTATTGCTTGCTTTTTAACTCCACTTCACCGTCTATTCCGTATGTCTCTCTCCAGTGGTATATCTCCATCATCCTGGAAATGTGCACACATGTTTCCTGTCCACAAAAAGGGAAGCAAACGAGCCGTGGATAACTATCGTGGAATTACATCGCTGAGTGCTGTTTCGAAACTATTCGAGCTTGTTATTATGGAACCGTTGCTCTCTCACAGCAAGCAGTATCTGAGTGCTGATCAACACGGGTTTACTGGCGGTCGCTCTACAACCACCAATCTGCTATGCCTCACATCAAACATTACCGATAGTATGACTGAACGGGTACAGACGGACGTTATATATACCGATCTATCCGCGGCATTCGATAAGTTGAATCATGACATTGCGATTGCTAAACTCGACAGGCTTGGGGTGAGCGGTAATCTCTTGAGTTGGTTCCGTTCGTATCTTACTGGTCGCCAACTTATGGTTGCTATAGGAGATTGCAAATCAGCTAGCTTCTTTGCCACATCAGGTATATCGCAGGGAAGCCATCTGGGACCGTTGATTTTTCTACTCTATTTCAACGACGTGAATCTGGTTATCGAAGGACCTCGATTAGCATATGCAGACGACCTCAAAATATTTTTACGAATTTGCTCGATCGCTGACTGCCCAATCTTCAACATCAGCTTAATGTCTTCGCCAGTTGGTGTACTTTAAATCGAATGGTAGTGAACCCAGCAAAGTGCTCTGCCATAACGTTCTCACGAAAAAAGCAACCGATTGTATTCAGCTATGACCTGCTTGGAACGACACTCGAACGCGTGAATCAGGTGAAAGACCTGGGTGTGGTGTTGGATTCACAGCTAACATTCAGGCAACACATTTCTTATGTCATCAATAAGTCGTCTAGGACTTTATGATTCATCTTCAGGATAGCTAAGAATTTCACCGATGTCTACTGCTTAAAATCTCTTCACTGCTCCCTCGTACGATCGACGCTTTAGTATTGTTCTGCGGTTTGGAACCCGAATTACAACAATGGTGCCGAGAGAATCGAACCTGTTCAACGTCGCTTTCTTCGTTTTGCGCTTCGTAGACTTCCTTGGAGAGTCGCTGCCTGATAAACCTTGAACCTCTCCGGATTAGAAGGGACACCAGCAGAGCTTTGATTATCGCCGACACTCTACAGGGACGAATAGATTGTGAGGCTATCCTAAGGCAAATTGACCTAAACGTGCAACCCCGACCACTCCGTAACAACCTCATGCTGAGACTGCCACTGCGTCGCACGAGCTACGGGGCATATGGTGCGATTTGCGGACTACAGCGTGTATTCAACAGAACCTCACACGTGATGCGCTTCGTCAGAGATTCTCATCTATTTTCGCCGGCCGAGAAAATTAGTGTATTTCCATTTATATTTTTTACATTCTGACCATGTTGCTTTGTTTTTCTTTCTGTGATTATTTGACATGTAATTTTACTATTATTATTATTATGATTAGTATTATTAACATCATTTGGGCTACAGCATGATGTATGGCAACAATAAACAAATGTGTAAAATGTGCTAATTTGCTTGACGCTTCAGTGACACCCTATTCCGTTTCGTGTCCTCACATTGCACAGCAACGTCTTATATGCTTATAAGCTTTCCAGACATAACATATTAAGGAAGTTCATGTGCACATTAGCGCCGCGTAGTGAGAGAGCACTTAAATAATATGACCACCATCCGAAAGGACTTGGTCACCTGAACAACTTTGCTCAAGACGGCAACGTTCTATATGGCCAGGTTCTCGAGATACAGTTTATATAGGAAATTCACATGCACACTAGCGCTGCGTAGTGAGAGAGTTCTGAACTAATATAAACACCATACAAAAGGACATGATCACCTGAACAACTTTGCTGAAGACAGTAACCTTCTATATGACCAGGATTTTGAGATACAGCTTATATAGCAAGCTCATATGCACACTAGCACTGCGTAGTGAGAGAGTTCTGAACTAATATGGACCATCCGAAACGACCTGCTCACTTGAACAACTTTGCTGAAGGCAGTAACTTTCTATATTGCCAGAATCACGAAATATTCTATGTTGGACCTATGATCCATATATTAGAGCGCTTGTCATTAGTAATATAAAAGTGAAGCGCCTCTAGCGGCGTAGTTCCCAATTAAACCTGAATCCAATGACACAGGCTTGTTGGTCTATCCCAGTACAACAACTTTGTCCAAAACAGTATAGCTCTATATATTGAAACAAATGAGATAATCCAGCACAGCCCCTATTAGTGAAAATCCCATAAGTTGTGGGTATCCTTATTCGCTGTTCCTTATTCACGCCCCTGTTACTCCGGCAATAAGAATTCCTGACTGTACCTCAAAGACCGAAAAACAAAACAGATCTGAAATTACCAAAATAAATAATTTTAGAGTTGTTAGTGTAGTTTTAATCCTCGTTTAGACAATACAATTTTGCGTTCAACTTACTTGTACTGCGAACTGAACATCCAGTAAGTTAGTCGATGTGCGACTTTCTCTATTCGCTGTCAACTCGCTTGAACATTGAGTGGAATCAATACAATTTCTGGTAACAATTAATTTTATAACACCGTAGTTAAATTAATCTCATAAAATTAACAAAAATTTCATTGATAACATAAAATGTATTGTTGAATTATTGTATACACTGTAAACACAGATTTCAATTAAATTGATTGTTGGTGATACATTTTATAATACACTTATTTTCAATAGAACCCCCTCAACTGTAACATATATATTTTTTTATCTGGATCCCTTGTCGATAAAGACTAAAGTCTCAAGCTCAGTTAGTAGCAGGAAATATGTGCCACAATTAAATCCAATAAAATCAACCACATCCATCCGTCTATCCATGCTCTTTTCCACTGGGTTCTAGAACTGAACGAAGGGGTTTGGGAAACAGGGAGAGGCACATAAATCAAAGCCCAAGGAGATGGAAGTGGGACCAGAGTGTAACAAGAGCCATAAAACATATCACTCAAGAGTGGCTTACTTCTGGTGTATGCTGGTCCTGGCGGAACAGCACAACCCACCGCTCCGGCAGCAGCAGGAGCATATCGCCACATAATTTAATTGGATTCATCCCAGGGGGTGCCTAGACAGCCGGCAGCCACCCATTACCACCATTGGACACTCACTCATACCCATTCCAGACATTCGCAGTCCCAGTGCGAGTGAGAATGGTTCTTGAGAAGCGTATTCCTTGCGCACTCAAAAGACTTCAATCTTCCAAACTTCTAACGGTATGTTCTTTCCTTTTCAGCTCACTCGATGCTTACCGACAACAGTAGACATAAATTTCGATTAGACAATTGGTGATCCCGCGGGAGGCGCAAAAACCAAGTGGTGCGTGATTTAGTGAAGCAATTTCCTAATAAGAGAGCTAGCCATCCACGGGGGAAACAAAGTGCTTCAGGTTTATGAATTCCACCAGGATGCTGTTCTTGCGACTTACAGTGTGATAATTGGAGTGGAAATATTCTGTGGCAACAAAAATGAAGCAACACAGCAGCAGTTAGTTGGAACGTGTTTCAACCGGACGTGTCGGATCGGAAAAGTGTTGATGAGCCCGTTTGGTCCAAACTGGGAAGCTAAATTTAATCCACGGTCGGAAGTTGACTGGAAGAGCGGCAAAAAATATCAGCGCATATTCGCGGTGCTGTGAAGAAGATAACGTAGGGAAAGTTGGCTGGAAAAGCAGACCAACATGAACACGTCACTCAACATTAGCCTATCGTCGGCGGTGCTGCTAGCGGTGGTATTCTGGTTCAATCTTGTGAGAGGTAAGTGACAGTCATAGTTAGAGGTGGAGTTGGTTTTTGCCTACGAAAAGACGAAAATATTTATGGAAACATGTTAATAGATGACAATCTTAACGAGCTTTGTATGTGATGATAGGAAATCATTTGATCAGGTCTGATTAATGTATTAAACAATTACTGATACTCATAGGCGGCTACAGACGTCATACAAAGGGAGAAAGCAACTTTTTTTTTTAAATCTCAGATCTCCAGAAATAGCAATGTCTTATAGCATCGAGTTCCAATATCATGAAAAAAAAAATAAGTCCAACAATCATTAAATATTTCGATGTCTCTGAAATTTGATTTATACTAAATTATCAATGTTAAATCGTCCAGTATTTTAAATACATATGTATGTAAGTTTTGAATCTTGCTCGATCTCGCGTATTGTCATCAACTGTTAGTCATTATATGATCAATTCCATAATGGACTGTATGGTTTGGTATGGTTTCATTCCCCCAACACGATCCGGCTGGTTGAATTGTACAAGGTAGTGGAAAAGGGAGGACCCCGATGGCTATTCCTTCCATTCCATTGGAAGTTAGTTCGCTTCTCCGAATTATTATGCCACGAACACATGCGGCGTAAGGGTGAACGAAACGATCTATATATCACATTAAGCCGACATATCTACAAAACACGTAACACTAAATACGTTAAAATTGTATATACAGTAGTGTCCGACACCCGTTTGGAGCAGAGACCTGACTCCTAATACTACTGCTATCTAATATGTTTTGCCTCCTGCATCCTTATAATACTCAACTTGTTTCAATCATGTTGAATTTCTCCTCAAAATTATCTAGGAACGCTAAACTACGCTTCGTTGTAGTTTCAAAAGAATCGTGTAGACTTCATGCCTGGGCTTTCTTTGCCAACCTACAGGTCTTAACCCGTAGGAGTAAGAAATACTTATTACTTTGTTCAGAGTAATCGATTGGCCAAGATCGGAGAACCTCCGGTTGGGTCGAGCTCAGAACGAATAATCTTCTTCGTATATTTCAGCGTTTCTTATTTATAGGGGTTATCGAATACAGTTTTCCTATGAGACAGCTGGGGCGACATCAATAAATGCATCCTTTGCAGTTTTACAAAATTGGGTTTTTTCGCCTAATAAACATAAAGCACTGCGGCCGGTACGGGTTTCGCTGTGCGAGGTAAAAAGTGATAACGAGTAGAGAGACTGAAGTAGAGACACAGAAGGTGTGCTTCTTTAAGCGTAATTATAATTTGCTGCCTGTGGGATATGTATGTAAATTAGCTATGGGTTTGTTCTCATGCTACACCATCCCCCTTAGAGAGAATAATGTAACAGGGTGGAATTATTCAAACATAAATGGTCTTTCCCCAATTGTCTCGAACATTTTTATTGCTTGTTGATTTTGTTCTTTTTTCTTTTTTTTTGTTTTTTTTTTTTACCTTTTTATTTTGCCTAACCGAATTTCGCACTCTCAGTGACATTGAGAACTTTCACCCATTCCTTTTTTTTTACTATTTTTTTTTTACTTTCTTATGAAATTGGGCTCGGTAAATGGCTTATTTTTTACACTTTTTGAAGGAAAAAAAAATTTTGCTTAGTTTTTGATCAATCTGTTTTTATGAACTAAAATTGTTTTTCCTGTAGTTGTATTTTTAATCTCGCAATTTGGTTCACATATTGATATAACTTCGTATGGTCCAAGATAAAATGGATCTAATTTCCTCCTATTTTCATTTTTCAAAAAAACTAAGTCTTGTAGTTTGATATAAATTGGGTTTAGAGTTTGTTCATGTTCCTTTTGTCTCTTCATTTGTTGCTCTATTAATTTTGCTCTTGTTATTTCGTGAGCTATTTTTAATTTGTACTGTAGTTCATTCTTAAATATATCAAAATTATAAATTGGTTAATTAACACTGTCGAAATTGTCTTGTGGAAGGTTTGCTTTTTTACCGAATACTAACTCAAATGGAGTGAAGTTATGATCTGTGTGGGGTGTAGTGTTGTATGAAAATTCGTAATATTTGACCCAGTCATCCCAGTCTGATTGGTGTTCATTGGTGAATGACCGCAGATATTCGTTAAGACATCTGTGGTTTCTCTCCAATGATCCAATTGATTCTGGATGATAAGGTGTTGAAAATGTTTGCTTTATCTGTAGGAGTTTGCATACCTGCTCAAGGATCTCATTTTTATATTCTGTTCCTTGATCAGATCGCAATTCCATAAAATGTCCATATATTAGAATAAAGTTTTCCACTAGGGCTTTCGCTATAGTGTTGACTTCTTTATTTTGAATCGGAATTACTACAATATATTTGGTTAAATCGTACTGGATTGTCACACAGTAGCGATTGTTATTAATGGTTCTCGGTAGAGGTCCTACCGTATCTATTGATATGATCTCAAATGCTCTCGATGGTGTTGTGGTGATAACCATCGGTTGTTTTGTATGCTTGATAATTTTGTTTCTTTTGCACAATTCGCAGCGCTTTACGAATTGAGCAGTAGACCCTTTCATATCACGCCATTTATAATATTGACGAACACGTTGGTACAATCGGTGTTGTCCTACATGTCCTCCTGTGGGTGTGTTGTGGTGATTATGTAAAATTGTTTGAATTTCGTTAACATCAGTAATGAATTTTGGTTCCTTAAAGATAATTATTTGCAAATCTTTCAAAATGTTATTTGCCATTAATTTAAAGTAATTTAAAGGTACTATTTGAAAAATTATATCCTCTGCAGAGAGCGCTATTTTATGCGTACGTCTTGATTTCGTGATTTTCTCAATTTCTGGAAGAGCAAATTCTAGCATCTGACTTCCATTTCTTACATCTTGATGCACTTGTGCGACAAGCTTGTTTCTTTTTCTCACGTTGAATTTTATTATATTGTCCACTACGGCTGTCGACAGTTTTAGTAAATTTTTTATTTCCGTAGGACTCTCGGCTTCATATATGCGGGGTTGATCAGACTCCCTTTTTTCATCTTCATAACTTTTATTTTCCTTATTTTTATTCGGAGATATCGATTTTTTCGTCATCGATCTCGTATTAACTAGTAAAATATTAGCTTTAAGTTGTTCCGATGTAGTTACAATGCGTGATAATGCGTCTGCTGCTACGTTTTCTTTACCTACCATGTATACAATGTCGAAATCGTATCCTTCTAGATCGATACGCATCCTCGTCAATTTTGACGTTGGTTTCTTCATATTAAACAGATAGACAAGAGGTCTGTGATCTGTTCTTACTGTGAATTTTCTACCATACAGGTATGACTCGAAATGGTTAATAGCCCAGTGTATGGCTGTTAACTCCTTTAGAATTGTTGGTTTGTTTCGTTCAGCAGGAATAAACGTTTTGCTTGCAAAAGCAATCGGTTGATCTCCTGCTTCAGTAATTTGAGACAAGACAGCTCCACATCCAATATCAGAGGCGTCTGTCGTCAGTATAAATTGTTTGGTAAAGTCCGGATACTGCAATATTCTTGGTGACATTAGTTGGTATAACGGCGCCGGTGGTGTAGTGGTAAGCGTGATTACTTCTCACCCCAGCAGGCCTGGGTTCAATCCCAGTCGGCGCCGCCGGGATGTTCTGAGGCATAACATCTCTGATCACGCCTTCCTTCGGATGGGAAGTAAAGCCGTTGGTCCCCGGTTCATGAGTTGATGGGTCGATAGGTAGGGTCCAGGTGTGGGAGCTGCCTTCCTGGCACGTCGGTAGCATTGGTGCTCAGCACGGAAAACAAGATCGACGGAAAAAACAAACCAAAGGAAAAAAAAAAAAAATTAGTTGGTATCTCAAGTAATCGAATGCTTTTTGGCATTCTTCTGTCCATACAAAAATTGCATTTTTCTTCAATAGTTGGTTTAGAGGGTACGCAATTTTTGCGAAATTTTCGACGAATTTACGATAATAGTTGCAACAAATCGTCGTACATCGTCTGCGCTTTTGGGTACTGGATAATTCCTAATATCTTCATATTTCGAATCATCGGGTCTGTTATCTTATGACCGAGATATGTGACCTCAGTTCTAAGAAATTTGCATTTTGAAATGTTTAGTTTAAGGTTATAGTGTCTTAAACGTTCAAAGATTTTCTCTAAATTTTCCAAATGATGTCTTAATGAGCATCCGATGACAACTATGTCATCTATGTAAATGAACGCACGTTCCGGCGTTAAGCCAGCCATTACGATCGCCATCATTCTTTGAAAGCTATTCGGGCTAATATTCAGTCCAAACGGCAATCTTCTGAATTGATAGTGACCGGAATTCGTTGAAAATGCAGTGAATCTTCTAGAATCCTGTTCCAATGGGATCTGATGAAATCCTGACATCAGATCTAGCGTGCTAAAGTATTTCGCTCTACCAAGTTGATCTAAAATGCTTTCGATTCTTGGTAGAGGAAATTTATCTGGCATAATCTTTTTGTTCAGTTGGCGGTAGTCGATAACTAATCGCCATTTTTTGTCTGATCCTTCTGATTTTTTAGGTACCAGAAGAATCGGTGAATTGTACGATGAAACTGAAGGTTCGATTATCTCTTCAGCTAACATCTTTTGTATTTGTTTTTCTATTTCTTCTCCTTGGGAGTGAATAGTTTTGTAATTCTGGATATACACAGGAACATTGTCGTTAAGGCTAATGTTCTGTGAGTAAAAATTATTTGTTGATAATTTTTCATCTTCTAAGTGGAATATGTCAGAATAATCTGTAATTAATTCTTCTAATTTAGCTCTTGCATAGGGTGGTATGTGTTCAGTATCTATTTTGCTTAATATCCGTTTACATCTCTTTGAGTCGATTTCCTTATCTCCTCTAGTTGGAACTACATGAAAATTCCGAAATGGTTCTAATTTAGGTTTGAAATCTGAATATGATATGTATATTGATTTATCTGTAGTATTTATAAATTTAAATATTGGTTGAGCAGCAGATATGATTGTATTTCCACAAAATACCCCTGGTTGGATTTCTTGTGAGTACACAACCAT